TAAATAAATATATTTTTTACATCATCAATTCGAGCATATTCATTTCTAATTAGTTTCTGATAACCTTGGTAATCTCTTCCATCTATTGATGTTGCAATAAATTTCAAATTTCTTAAGTTACCATTTTTCACATATCTTTGATTCATTCCATTTCTTTTTAAGCTTTGCAACTAGTGACTTCATTAATTTTTTGGTAAAAAATACATATATTTTGTTGTACAGAAACTTTTGATTTTATTAGAATAACGAAAAGCAATATCATTGTAGATCCTATATTTAACGACTAGATTTTAACCCGTGGTACACCGCGGGATGATTTATTTTTAAAGTTAGTATAAAAATATTTTATAAATTGTATCTCCTTATAAAATATTTATTTATATTATAGTTTACAATTGTTATTAAGTAACGGTATACCACGAGTCCACGAGACAATTGTTAATAAACTAAGGATTTAACCCGTATTAAAGCGGCATGTTAATGATATTTATAAATATAAATTCAAATTCGTCCGTCATATAAACCCGTTCCAAAATATAACCCGTTCCGCAATTTCTTAACCCGTCCCGTGATTTGTTTTTATTTTAAAATTTAATGATTATTTATTATATATAAAAGTTTACAAATCATATCAATCTCTAAGACATTTATATTTTAATAAACTGAAGATTTAATCTGTATTAAAGCGGCATGTTAATGATATTGATTCAAACTCGTCCACCATATAACTTCGTTCTGAAATATAACCCGTCATGTAACTTCTTAACCCGTCCCGTGATTTGTTTTCTAAAAGTAGTAATTTTTAAAATTTAACAATTATTTATTATATATAAAAGTTTGCAAATTTTATCATTTTCTAAGATATTTATATTTTATAGTTTACAATTGTTATTAAGTAATATTATACCACGGGACAATTTTTGGTCTTATACAATCTTTTCAAAATGAGACTGATTTAATATATATATAATAGCAATCTAATAAATACTATTTGCACATCTGAACGGTTGCGTCTTTTTATCGCAACCTTTCGTTTAAATCGGTTATTTTTTCACGATTATTTTGGTTGCGTATTTTTATCGTAATTTTCGTTTTAATCGTTATTTTTGAACGGTTATGTTGTTTCCAATAAATACCATTTGCACATCTGAACGGTTGTGTCTTTTTACTGCAACCTTTGGTTTAAATATTTATGGTTGTTTTCTATATATAATATTAATCTCAATAAATGCCTTTTGCACATCTGAACGGTTGTGTCTTTTAATCGCAACTTTTTGTTAAAAAAATTTTAAACTAAAATATATATTTTACGGGTATGTTTTTTAGAAAATTGCAATCCGAAGGTCTTCAGCGGTTGCGACTTTTTATTGTAATTCTTCATAAACAGTTGCAACCTCTTATTTGAATTATTGCAATATTTAGTTAATTTCATGAACGATTGCAACATTTGATTTATATATTTAGTTTATTTCACGAACAATTGTAACCTTTGGTTTATTTTATAAATTGCTATAACATCTAATTATCTACCGTCGAGTCTCTCGGTATAACTTTTCATAAATTAATATTTTTAATTTTTAATTACCAAAATTTATTTAAATGAGATTGTAATCGTTTAATTGAACCGTTGAAACATTTGGTTTATCTGACAAATCATTGCAACTTTGGTTTTATTTTACGAACCGTTGTAATCTTTAGTTTATTTGACAAACTTGATGAACCGTTGCAACTTTTGATATATCGCAACATTTCATTTATTTATTTTTAAACTAAAAAAATTATTTTACATTATATGTTTTAAGAAAGTTGCAATCCGAGTAAATATTTTTTACGGTTGCATCTTTTTATCGTAACTTTTCATAAAATGGTTGCAACCGTTTAGTTGAAACATTGCAACATTTAGTTTATTTCATGAAAAATTGAAACTTTAAGTTTATTTTATAAATCGTTATAACATTTAATCATCTACCATTTTTATTATTAATTTTTGTTTGATATTTTTTAAAACGATTTTTAAAATATTTTCCCCCGCAACATCGCGGGGGTCCGGAGTCCTAGTATGTCTAATATTGGTGGTATTAAAAAAAAATTAAGGATTTACTCCGTATTAAAGCGACGGATTACTGATATTTTAATGTTTTTATTATTGTTGATTCAAAAACCCGTCCCGCCAAACCCGTCTAGCCAAAAAACTCATTTATTTTATTATTGTTGATTTTATTTATGATATGATTCTAAATCATAGTCTAAATATTTAAATCGATGTAGAACTATGAACACACATTTTCGTCAATTGGATAATATATGTCCGTTTTTAAAATTTCGAATCACAGTATATGCAGAAAAAAATTGATTCTTTTTCTTTAACTTTATGTATTATATTATGATTCATAATAGTGAAAAACAAATCAAACAAAGATGATAGGAGAATCATAATTCTAAATCTTAATCAAATCTTTTAAATATCTAAATTATTAAATAAGGAATATCCGGTTTATGAGTTGGGTTAAATATAACCCGATCCAACAAATTTTTTATGACCAAAATTTGTAAATGGGTCGGATATCCGATTAACCCAGAAGCAATTTTACCCACCCGTCACCAAAGTGTTGCAAAAATACTAGTATAAATATTCCTTTATTTAGTTATATTTGACCATTTCCTAGGGAATTTCATTAATGAGTTAATTCTCTTAATTTTCAATTGTACATAAATTGATTCGTTGAGAGAATTAAACAATTATGGAAACCATAAAAAAAATGTTGATTCTGAGTTGAGAATAATATTATATATATATGGGTTTAAACTATTGGATGATGGTTTTTATCAATAAGTTTAGTAGAGAGTAGCTGTTTTGGTATTAATATTTTAACTAAGAGAGTAATTTGTAACGACCCGACCGTCCCTACTAGTGGGCTTTACGTCATCTCTCGGGCCCATGGGTCCACTCCTGTCCGACGGCCGGTCTGCTACGCCCGGGAGGCTTTAAAAACTAGTTTACCAAAACTACAAATCACCACATGATCTTTCCTTGTATTTTGTCCTCACTCACACAGTTCTGACAATCACTTCCCGGAAGGTCACCCATCCTGAAACTACTCCAGCCCAAGCAAGATTAACTGTGGAGTTCTCTCAGGACAGTTGACCGAAAAGATAAGTGCATTTTGGTGACATAGGTGACCAAATCAATTCATTTAAACATCTCCGCATGCACCACCATATTCCTGAAACCGGGGTGTTACAATTCACTCCCACTAACATATCGCAACGTCCTCGTTGCGCACCAAGACCGCAACCCCCAACTGCCTCGACTTTAGCAGGATCTACATCAACACCTTCCCCGGATACCAAATGTCCCAAAAACCCTACTTCTTGAAGACAGAATTCGCACTTGCTCAGCTTAGCATACAACTGCTCTTCCTTCAATCTCTGAAGTATCAATCTCAAGTGTTCAACATGTTCTTCTCGAATCTTTGAATACACCAAGATATCATCGATGAACACTATAACAAATTCGTCCAAGTGCGGTCTAAATACTTTGTTCATCAAATCCATGAATATAGCAAGAACATTGGTTAGACTGAAATGCATAACGACAATTTCAATATGTCCAAATTTGTTCTGAAAAGCTCTCTTAGTGATATCACAATCTCAGATTCGCACTTGATGATAGCCTGATCGCAAAAATTCTTAGAAAACCAGCTCGCTCCTTGAAGCTGATCAAGTAGATCATCGATCTTAGGCATAGGATACTTGTTCTTTATTGTCACTTGATTCAACTGGCAGTAGTCAATGCACAATCTGATACAACCATCCTTCTTCTTCACAAAAAGGACATGTGCGCCCCAAGGAGGTGAATTAGGACGAATAAAACCTTTCTCTAATAACTCTATATGTTGTTTATTCAACTCTAACACCTCTGATGGAGCCATTATCTATGGGGCCTTGGTAATTGGTGACGTCCCCAAAATCTCTTTAAGTTTGGGTGAGTGCTTCTCCACACCCTTTATCACTACCAAGCAGCCCATGCCTCTTTTGCTTGTAATCTTCCCGACTTCAAAAGTTATATAACAGCAACAAAGAAATTCTCGCAGAACCACGAAACTCTACCAATGGGATTAAACCTTACATAAGGGAAATTCATTGTAGGCTCTTATTTACGTAGAAACGGAACTCATAACTTTCACTCATAATCCTATAGCGAGACTCGTAAAATTTTTCAAAATAAAAAAACGAAAAACGTTTGAAAACACCCAAGGTTTCCTAAAACCATACTCTGATACCAAACTTGTAATGACCTGACCGTCCCTACCAGTGGGTCTTACGTCATCTCTTGGGCCCATGGGCCCACCCCTGTCTGACGGCCGGTCCGCTACGTCCGGGAGGCTTTAAAGACTTGTTTACCAACCCTACAAATCACCACATGATCTTTCCCTGTGTTTTGTCCTCACTCACACAGTTCTGACAATCACTTCCCGGAAGGTCACCCATCCTGAAACTACTCCAGCCCAAGCACGCTTAACTGTGGAGTTCTCTCAGGACAGTTGACTGAAAAGATAAGTGCACTGTAGTGACATAGGTGGCCAAATCAATTCATTTAAACCTCTCCGCATGCACCACCATATTCCTGAAACTGGGGTGTTTTATAATTAATATAAACATCTAATAGTAAAATGACTGAAACACATTATAGAATTGATTAAGAGATGATGATGTGTCATCGATGGAGAGACTCCTTTAGAAGAATTGATTTAGTCATCTATGTCACGAAGATGCTCTTGTATTTTCGATCAAACATTCTGGGAGAAGTCCAAAGTTAAGCGTGCTTGAGAAGCTCTCTTATAAGATTAGTTAAATAATTTCTAAAAAATATAAATTCTATTTTAATGTAAAAACTAACGTGTTACACAATTTATGTAGTTTTTTTTTATTTGTTTGAAAAAATTCAAATATCAATTATATTTTGAAACAAAAATAGTATAATTTATGGACATGTAATGTAGTGATGTTTATCTCACACATGTCAAACCGACACAAAAATATATTATTAGAAATAAAGTATATACTTACATAATATATTAATTAATTTAAAGATAGGAAATCACACACATAAATTATTTTGCAAATTTCTTAAGTTTCACTTATTACATAGTAACCAGCTGAATAATCCGTCGCAAGAACTTCGAGGCACGATGTGTTTGTCATGAGAAAATTTGTTTTGGTTGCAGAATTTTTTGCAAGCATTCTCACATAAAGGAAGAGTTGCCTTTTGAGAAACTTTCATGCACTGATTCGGGACACAATGCTTAACACACACTTCCACCGTACTCGCATATGTTAAAACCATCATCATAAATAAAACTACAATCATCAAACAACTGTATATATTTTTCATTGCTTGAGTCGCCATTGAAGAGATGAGTTTATGGGTGTTCAAGAGTAGAAATTTTTTGCTTATGTTATATAGCGAAAACAAATTTAACAACATGATTAGTGTTGAGTTGGCTTTGTGTAGTTTTATACTTTATATAGAAAAAGTAGTTTTACCCTTTAAAAATTATTATTTTTGGAAGTCTATCCATTTTTTTGGGGGGGTTAATAAGTTAGTATTCCATTGTTATTGGCTGTCCAAACAATCGATCGTTCCAAACTCTTGTTGTCAAGAACCTACCTGATTCGGTGTAAAAGTTCTCTTATTGATCAAGATCTTAAACTTTATTATAAAAGTATAAATTTACCAAATTATGAATAAGTAATTAACTAATGACATATTAGATAATATCTCTCTCAGTACTCGTGTATGTTGAAACCATATCGTACATAAAACTACAATCATCAATACACTACATATCTTCTTCATTGTTGGAGTCGCCATAACTTGAAAAACGAGATGAGTGTGTGAGTGTTCTAGCATATTATAATTTTGTCTCTGTTGTATAATAAACAAATTTATAACAAGATGATTATGTTGAGTTGCCTTTATGTACTTTTATAATTTATAGAGCAAACATATTATAATTTTGTTTGTAGCACTACAAGAAATATGAGCATTGATAGCATATTAAGATAGCACGGTTTTCGTATTTGCTATTAAAGATGTGTTCGGGATTTGATAACAATATCATAGCATTTCAACAATGCTAAGCCTTAAAATAGCAAAATAAAAAATTAAAAATCAGATCAAAACTAAAATCACTTTGACCACTTCTTCTTCTTCTTCTTCTTCTTCTTCTTCTTCAGGTCATAACCTCTTACGACAATGGAGTTCTGAAGTAAACATCTCCTATTTCCCACACAGATCTAAAAGCAAGGTTGGTCTTTAGTTTCTCTTACTTTCGGTAAAACTCTGCGGATGAAATCTTACTCTCATAGGTCTCGTCAGCAACAGAGTTTACTGATAAAGAATCAGAAAAGCATGACGAATCTGATGATGGAGAACAAGAGAAGCAACAAGGGCTAAAGCAAGAACGTGAGAGTTTGGAGAAGAAAAGATGAAGAAGGGTTGAGAGGAAGAACAAGCAGAATTAGTTGACGATTTGAGTGTAGTAAAACAAAGAAAATAGAGACAATGATAACATGATGGAACTATCATATTCGGCTATCGCAAAGCTTGATCAAGCAAAACAGAATGAGATCCAACATTCTTCATAAAAATTAGAAGGTTATCTACTTTACTTCGTCTTTGTTACTCTTGATGGTTTTGGTTTTGGCAATTTCAGTTCCAAACTAATTCAGGCTATCCACAAGCTTTCCTTTCGGCATCAAGACTTCAAGGTAAACTAATACTCTTTGATTTCTCGTGTTTTTATAAGGTTAGCAGCTGATCAGTTCAAATTATTTAGTAGATATACCCTGCATTTTAAGGAAATTTGAAGCTAATAAGCTTGTCTATTGTACTGCATTTTTAGGACTATTGTTGCTTTGGAGAAGGCAGTGAAGTGAGAATTGCTTGGAATGAGACAACCTAAGTTCTTTGAAGGAGAGAAAGAGCAAGCTAATGGGAAGGCAACGCACATAGAGGGGATGAGATTGAAGTTGTCTTTAGAATGTTAGCTTTATTTTGTTTAAAACTTGGTATGATGTTATGTTAAAATGGATAATGTAATAATATTGTTATGTATGTTGATGATTTATGAAATATAAACATTATATTATAAATCCAATTAAATTTATTTTGCAAAATAGGATTCATATATAATAATTATATATGCAAATAGCTTAAAATAATCGTAGTATAGACTTGCTATTGTAGAATGCCCTATGATAACAAAATGCAGGTGCTATATAAGATTTAATTACAGCGTTGTAATTTTGCTATAGTATCTGTATATATCATAGCATTAAAAAAAATGCTATCGTATGTCAAAAACCTATTATAGCTGCCGATGTCATAGCATTAGTGAATTCGCTATCTTATATGTATGATAGCATATTTTCCGCGCTAACAATGTGCATATTTCTTGTAGTGTAGTTTTATCCACTTTTAAACATTATTTAGTTTGGAAGTCTGTCCGTTTTTTCTTTTGTTAATAAGGTAGGTTTCTATTTTTATTCGAAACAATGTATCGTTCCAAATTCTTGTTGTTAAAAAACCTAAATCGGTATAAAAGTATATACACAAATGAGTAAATTAAACTTGATTATTTACCAAACTATATATAAGTAATTAACTAGTTACATATTAGCATAAAAGCATCAAAGTTTTTGTAGCCAAAAGCTGTGGCCTATTAGTGAGCTGAACCGTAGTCGAAACATGTTTAGGGGGAGATAATACCACGTACGATTGCATATATACTAAAATGATAATCAATTTTAGTAGGAGTTTCGACTTCTCATGAAACCACGGATTTCCGCTGAGATGGATTAGTTGTCACAGAAATAATGAACTGGCTGTCGGACAAGGATGGGCCAATTGACCGAAAGAAAACATGTAATGACAGTCGGAACATTACAAATTTATGGACATGTAATATAGCGATGTTTATCTCACACATGTCTAACAGACACAAAAATAAATTATTATAAATAAAGTATATACTTACATAATATATTAGTTGATTTAAAGATAGGAAATCACACACATAAATTATTTTACGGATTTCTTAAGTTTCAGTTATTACATAGTAACCCAAAAAATCCCTCGCATAAGTCTCCAGGAGGCATGGCGTAGAATTTCTCATCAGAAAATTTGTTTTGGTTGCAGAGCTTTTTGCAAGCATTCTCACATAAAGGAATAGTTGCCTTTTTAGAAACTTTCATGCACTGATTCGGGACACAATGCTTAACACACACTTCCACTGTATTCGCGTATGTTGAAACCATCATCGTAAATAAAACTACAATCATCAAAATACTGTATATCTTTTTCATTGCTTGAGTCGCCATTATTTGAAGAGATGAGTTAATGAGTGTTCAAGCTTCAGAGAATTTTGTTTATGTTATATAGCAAACAAAAATTTAACAGGATGATTAGTGTTGAGTTGGCTTTCTGTAAATATTTACTTTATATATCAGAAGTTGTTTTATCCAATCTATAAATTATCTATTTTGGAAGTCTATCCGTTTGTTTTTTTTGGTTGTAACCAAACGGTTATTTTAGGTGCATTTTTCTTATTAATTAATAAGTTAGTTTTTTTTTTTTTTTTTATGTTATTGGTTGTCCAAACAATCCATCGTTCCTAATTCTCATTGTCAAGAAACCTACCCAATTTGATGTAAAGGCTTTAGATTATACTTTCTTTACTATAAATACATGTTGTTGGAAGGACGACATCTGAGTACCCTAAATGAACAAATTACATTAAGCATTCTGTGAACTAGTAATTTTTACTTTTTAGTACTATTCAAACTAACGCGTAAAACTGATGAGAAATTATAATCACATGACTAATAAAATTTTTGTAAATCCGATATTTTTCTCGTCATCTCTCCCACATCATTAAGAGACTTTTCTTTTTAATTTTTTCTTCTTCAATAATTTGCTAAAACCAATCCAATTGGTTCTCTTGCTAACCATTAATTTATGGGCTAGCGGTTTTCTAGTAGGTCTGGGTGTTCGGTTCTTCGGTCTTATTCGGTTCGGGTTTTTTCGGTTTTTGGTTCTTCGGTTCCAACCCCTTAGAATAAGGGAACTAAAAGAGTTTCGGTTCAGTTCGGATACTTAGAAAGAGAACCGATAAATAACCAAAGTCCAATGGATATTGATTCGGTTCCGGTTATTTACCTAAAATACCAAAAACAAAAAAATGAAATATTCAATAAAAATAATCGAAACATCCCAATATTTTAGCTTTTTTGCCAAAATTGTAATAGACCATAATATATTGGGATAGAATATAAAAAATTAACAAAAATCTATTGGGTTAAAGGTTGGGACAAAATGTAGTGGGCTTAGATGTAGGTTTCTAGAGAGTTGACCAAATATTTTCGGTTCTATTCGGGTATCCATAGATTTCGGTTCGGTTCGGTTAATATCCATATCCAGTGGATAGTGTGACTGAGATCCATTCGGGTATTTAGTGGTATCCATAACCGAACCAGAACCCTTTTTCGGTTCGACTCGGTTCGGATCTTCGGTTCCGGTATTTATGCCCATACTTATTTTCGAGCATGTATTATTCGCGGCTTTAGAATGTTTATTAAAGAGGAGGGCAATATCAAGTTATTGAAACATTCTTTTTCGTCACTTGTTTATAACAACAATATTCTTGTGCTCTAATTTATCGGATCAGCACCCTTTAAAATACGAATATCAAATGTTCATGATTTGTTAGTTTGAGTATATATTAGAGAGGAAAAATTTAATAGTTCATGTATTGTTCACTACTGAGCCAAAACTGTTTATATCTCTAAGAAAGTTAAATTTAGTTGCAAAATAATGTCAAGAGTGTTCTTCTTTAACATAAATACATGTTGGAATGACTTCGAGCGACCTAAATTGCCAAGAAGTACTTCAATATGCCAACATCCTTCATTTGAAAATAGCAACTTAAGAAAAAATTGAATTCTGAATATGGTCGAAGATCTACCAAAGACAATTAGGTCATATAACAACATATACAAGAATGTGAAGACATAGATTGTGTAAACTTGTATTCCATAAGTGTAGGAGCAAGCTAGGCAACCAACAACAAGAAGCCAGCTGAAGACTATAAAATGACAGACTTAGACTTTCATTGGTACGAAAATCTGGAGGAATATCCCCAGGCCACATCCTCAATCATAATTTTTGAGGCCCCATTTGACAAAAAAATTAAAGAATTTAGTTTATTCAGTTAATTTTAATGTTTAAGTGTTTATGTTGAATACCAAAAATGATTTATGTTGACAACAAACTAGAGACATAACTTGAAAATCGAGATGCCTTCTTAGAAACTTTCAGGCATTGATTCGGGACGCAAAGCTTAACACACACTTCCACCGTACTCGTGTATGTTGAAACCATATCGTAAATAAAACTACAATCATCAATACACTATATATCTTCTTCATTGTTGGAGTCGCCACAACTTGAAAATCGAGATGAGTGTGTGAGTGTTCTAGCATATTATAATTTTGTCTGTGTTATATAGCAAACAAATTTATAACAAGATGATTATGTTGAGTTGGCTTATGTACTTTTATAATTTATATAGCAAACATATTATGATTTTGTTTGTAGTTTTATCAAATTTTAAAAATTATTTAGTTTGGAAGTCTATCCGTTTTTTCTTTTGTTAATAAGGTAGGTTTCTATTTTTATTCGAAACAATGTATCGTTCCAAATTCTTGTTGTTAAAAAACCTATATTGGTGTAAAAATATATACACAAATGAGTAAATTAAACTTGCTTATTTACCAAACTATATATAAGTAATTAACTAGTTACATATTAGCATAAAAGCATCGAAGTTTTTGCAGCCAAAAGCTGTGGCCTATTAGTGAGCTGAACCATAATCGAAACATGTTTAGGGGAGATAATACCACGTACGATTGCATCTATATTAAACTGATAATCAATTTTAGTAGGAGTTTCGAGTTCTCATGAAACACACGGATTTGCGCTGAGATGGATAACTGATTAGTTGTCACAGAAATAACAAATTGGCCTTCGGACAAGGATGGGCCAATTGACCGAAAGAAAACAAGTTATGATAGTCGGAACGTAAGAAATTTTTGGACATGTAATATTAGCAATGTTTGTCTCACATGTATGTCAAAATTCTAAAGTTTTTAGTGAATAAATCGTGAAGTGATGATCACCATAGAATATGATGGCCTTTGACAATTTAAAACTCAAATAATTGAATTTTGTTTGTATGATAGAAATCGACACAAAATAAATTATTATAAATAAATTAGATACTTACATAATATATTAATTAATTAAAGGATAGGAAACCACACACATAAAATATTTTACGGATTTCTTAAGTTTCAGTTATTACATAGTAACCCAAAAAATCCCTCGCATAAGTCTCCTGGAGGCATGGCGTAGAATTTCTCATCAGAAAATTTGTTTTGGTTGCAGAGCTTTTTGCAAGCATTCTCACATAAAGGAATAGTTGCCTTTTTAGAAATTTTCATGCACTGATTCGGGACACAATGCTTAACACACACCTCGACCGTACTCGCGTATGTTGAAACCATCATCGTAAATAAAACTACGATCATCAAAACACTGTATATCTTTTGCATTATTTGAGTCGCCATTATTTGAAGAGATGAGTTTATGAGTGTTCAAGCTTAATAGAATTTTTTTGTGTGTTATATAGCAAACAGAAATTTAACATGATGATTAGTGTTGAGTTGGCTTTCTGTAAATATTTACTTTATATATCAGAAGTTTTTTTTATCCAATCTATAAATTATTTATTTTGGAAGTCTATCGTGTGTTTTTTGTTGTTGTAACCAAACGGTTATTTTAGGTGCAATTTTCTTATTAATTAATAAGTTAGTTTTTTTTTTTGTTTATGTTATTGGTTGTCCAAACAATCCATCGTTCCTAATTCTAGTTGTCAAGGAACCTACCCAATTTGGTGTAAAAGTTTAAGATTATAATTTCTTTACTATAAATACATGTTGTTGGAAGGACGACATCTGAGTACCCTAAATGAACAAATTACTTTAAGCATTATGTGAACTAGTAATTTTTACTTTTTAGTATTATTCAAACTGACTCGTAAAACTGGTGAGAAATTATAATCACATGACTCATAAAATTTTCGTAAATCCGATATTTTCCTCGTCATCCCTCCCACATCATTAAGAGAATTTTCTTTTTAACTTTTTGTTCCTCAATCATTTACTAAAACCAATCCAATTGGTTCTCTTGCTAACCATTAATTTATGGGTTATCGGTTTTCGAGCATGTATTATTTGCGGCTTTAGAATGTTTATTTATAGAGGTGGGCAATATCGAGTTATTGAAACATTCTTTCTCGTCACTTGTTCATAAAAACAATATTCTTACGCTCTAATCTATCGGATCAACGCCCTTTAAAATATGAATTTCAAATGTTCATGATTAGTTAGTTTGAGTATATATTAGAGAGTAAAAATTTAATAGTTCATGTATTGTTCAATACTGAGCAAAAAATGTTTTTATCTCTAAGAAAGTTATTATTTAGTTGCAAAATAATGTCAAGAGTGTTCTTTCTTTAACATAAATACATGTTGGAATGACTTCGAGCGACCTAAATTGCCAAGAAGTACTTCAAGATGTCAACATCCTTCATTTAATTTGAAAATAGCAACTTAAGAACAAATTGTATTCTGAATATGGTCGAAGAACTACCAAAGACAATTAGGTCATATAACAACATATACAAGAATGTGAAGACATAGATTGTGTAAACTTGTATTCCATAAGTGTAGTAGCAAGCTTGGCGAACCAACAACAAGAGGCCAGCTGAAGACTATTTTAATGTTTAAGTGTTTTAAACTACAAATTTTGTTCTTTATCATCATTATCATTTATATTTGTGTTGTCGTCTTTTATTACTACTTAATATTTGATTCAAACACTATATAAAAAATTATTTTAACCAAAATTTTAGATGATATATTGTTAGTTAAGTTTTTTTAAAACTCACAATTTAAAATTTAACCATAGATCTCTCGATTCATTGGCACGGTAATGGTAATATACATTGACTTTTTGGCTTTCTGAATAATAGTGAAATTATTTGACTATTTTTATCTCGTACTAAGACTAACAAAGTAACAAATCATAAAAATCTCCCTACATTTTGACGGATGTTAGGGGATGTTATTGGTTTGTAATTTAAATAGAGTTTTAGTGAACTTAAAATATTATGTAGAATCTGTTGTTATTCAATCAAGTTTTTTAAAATTTTTGTTAAACTTTGGTGTTGTTAGTTTAAATTTGTAAAAAGTAATCTAAAATCTTCATAAATCTGGAGTTATTGGATTCAGACTTTTATAAAGCCAATAAATGTTTTGTGTTATTCAATACAAAAGAATCTATGATTGTTAATGAATTAAATTATTATGTTATTGGTTTATGACTTTCTACATTTTTCTTCACAGAATAAAGTCATAAAATGTACGTATCATCAAAATAGAGAGATTGTTTGTGACTTTACAAGATTATAAAAAGCTCTTTCTCTAGCAATAGTTTATAATCTTTCATTTATTTACTTTCTATGATTTTATAAAAATCATCAAAATTCTTTGTAAAGTATGAACCAATAACATTAGTTGGTAATGGGATTATGGGAAGGAGTAAAAATTCAAAAACACGTGACTATTAAATCTTATGGTAATTCCTTAAATGTTTTTTTTTTTGTTTTGAAAATGAATGTTTTTTAAAAATTAATGTTAAATTATATTCAAGAAAATTAAAACTGGTTTTACAACTTAATGCATATTTTTTTATAATAAAAAACCGGCAAGACGATTTGTTTTCTAAGAAAAATTTAAATTTTAAGTTGCATTTGTTTTGTTAAAATTATTAGTTTTGTTTAGTGTTTAAAATTGTATAATTTTATTTTAATTGTTAACTCTAAGATTTCACCCGTTGTATACCGTCCCGTATTAATATCGATCCAAACCCGTCTCACGATATAACCTCATCCCGTGAAACTAAACATCATTTTGTTGTTTTTCTTTTTAACAATACTTTTATTTAAAAGACATATAATTGGAGTGCTTTTTCATCAAACACAATCTCTTATAATATACCACATGAATCCTAGGAAGTGTTATCAAATCCAAATTAGGATCAAATTTTAAAAAGAAAAATACAAACCAAATATTGTAAAGGGGGTACCTTAATATAAAAATTACAATTAGGCTATGTGACAATTTCTCTAATACTACTACTAATTAAAACACTAATTATTAAGACGATGATTGATTATTCCTCCTCTTCCTCCTGTCAACCACTGCACCACAACGCTCACGTTATCAAAGCTTGGTCTTGCTAGAGCAAACTTCGTTAATAGCAAAGAAGCATCAGAGCAAGCATTGTCTACGGCTGCTGCAACAGAATCATCACAATCCGCTCTACCAGCACCTCGAGGGCACAGCACAACGTTGTACCATAACGCCGTCTCATTTGGTACAACGTTCCATAGACCATCACTCGCCAAGATCAAACATTCATCGTCGTCGGTTCGATCTGTCACTGTTACCTTCGCTTCCATCGCCGTTGTCATATGGTTTCAAGTAAATATGGTGTATATATATAAACAAAAACAAAAATCAAAAGAATTTAATTCAAGATGTTATTAAAATAGCTTTACCAAATTCGAATCACAAAGAGAGATTCACTCACCAATTGCTCTAGACATGGCAAGAACTCCAAGAACCCTAGCTACATCCTAATAATAACCCACCCACCCGCTTGCTAGATCCGAATCACTTCATCGGGTCGATCCGGCTGTTCATCACTACACAAACCTACAAAAACTCTTAGAACCATACAATCTTGATTGATACTAACCAATTCTTGATTCTATATACAGTTTTGTATTAAAAACCTTGTGATCCACGGAGAGAGGAATGGCTACGCCGTTATGGCAAAGCACGGCACGTGAATCGCCGCATTTGGAAACAATGATCTTCTCCGGCGTGACAACAGAGACGACAGCGGTGGATACGTTCTTTATCATTCTTTAAGTTACAGAATTTGAAGAAGTGATAGAGAGGTAACTCCATGATTAAAATACATTATCATGGCCTAAGATGTATACCCGTTAGTGACATAGGGTCAACACGGCGAAACATGACAAATTTAACCGGTAAATTTTAAAAATATTACGAGATGATGCTATGTCATCGCTGGAGAAACTCTCTTCTGAGATTGGTTGAATATTTTTAAAAATAGAAATTCTATTTTAATGTAAAACAATAACATGTTACACAATTTATGTAGTTTTTAATTTGTGTGAAGAAGTTCAAACGTTAATTATATTTTGAAACAAAATAGTATAATTTATGGACATGTAATAAAACGATGTTTATCTCACACATGTCTAACCGACACAAAAATAAATTATTATAAATAAAGTATATACTTACATAATATATTTATTAAATTAAAGATAAGAAATCACACGCATAAATTATTTTGCAAATTTCTTAAGTTTCACTTATTACAAAAGAGCCAGCTGAATAATCCGTCGCAAGAACTTCGATGCACGATAAGTTTCTCATCAGAAAATTTGTTTTGGTTGCAAAACTTTTTGCAAGCATTCTCACATAAAGGAAGAGTTGCCTTTTGAGAAACTTTCATGCATTGATTCGGGACACAATGCTTAACACACACTTCCACCGTACTCGCATATGTTGAAACCACTATCGTAAATAAAACTACAATCATCAAACAACTGTATATCTTTTTCATTGTTTGAGTCGCCATTGAAGAGATGAGTTTATTGGTGTTCAAGCGTAGCAAAATTTTGCTCATGTTATATAGCGAAAACAAATTTAACAGGATTATTAGTGTTGAGTTGGCTTTACGTAGTTTTATACTTTATATAGCAAAAGTAGCTTTAACCTCTTAAATTATTTATTTTGGAAGTTTATCCGTGTTTTTTTGGTTAATAAGTTAGTATTCTATTGTTATTCGCTGTCCAAACAATCTATCGTTCCAAATTCTTGTTGTCAAAAAACCTACCTGATTCGGTGTAAAAGTTCTCTTATTGATCAAGATCATAAACTTGATTTTAAAAGTAAAAAATTTTCAAATTATGTATAAGTAATTAACTAATTACATATTAGATAATATCTCTCTCTGTAATTACATATGAGTAAACTTGATTATAAAGTATAAATTATCGAACTTCTCAATTAGAAATCAAGGGTGAATGCTTCTACTACCATACTATATAAGAAGAGGTTTAGAAAAAAAAAAAAAAAAAGGCAGGTGATTAAACATATATAAGATTGTAAGCCTACGCTTGTCCCGTGTGGCCTCATTGTCGGCTCTCTTTAGGAGCAAACATGAACTAAGAGAGTACATGAATAGCATTTGAGAGCTCCGTTCTAGTCACCAAGATAATCAGAGCCAACCAACCAAATGACGATAACAATAAAGGTCAGAAAGACACTCGCAAGAAACCATAACTAACTTACGATTTTGTTTGATCGGAATCAATTTTAGCACCAAGAAGCCCAGTTTTAGATTATACTTTCTTTACCATAAACATATGTTGGAATGACATCGAGTACCCTAAATGCACAAAAAGTACTTCAAACATTCTTTCTATGAACCACGAACTTAAGTAATGTTTAATGAACTTGCAAAAACAAGAAGATCATAAATACAACAAGAACATGTAGTCAGAGATCACCATCGGCAAATTTAAAGGTGTATTCAGAAAGAGATTGTGTAAACTTTTATTCCTTAAGTGCAATAGAACTTTTATTCCTTATGTTCAGTATGAAACTTCACCAACCAACAACGAGAAGTCTGTCGAATACCAAAAAGTTATTTATGTTGACATTTATTTATGTTGACATTTATTTATGTTGACAACAAACTTGAGACATAACTTGAAAATCGAGATGCCTTTTTAGAAACTTTGAGGCATTGATTCGGTACACAAAGCTTAACACACACTTCCAGTGTACTTATGTATGTTAAAACCATATCGTAAATAAAACTACAGTTATTAATACACTACATATCTTCATCAAAACACTACATATCTTCTTCATTGTTAGAGTCGCCATAACTTGAAAATCGAGATAAGTGTATGAGTGTTCTAGCATATTATAATTTTGTCTGTGTTATATAGCAAACAAATTTTTAACAAGATGATTATGTTGAGTTGGCTTTATGTACTTTTATAATTTATACAGTAAACATATGTTGACATTCTCACATTCTCTCTATTTCTCACACTCATTTACGGTTTCATTGTCTTTAGAGAGAAAGAACAAAAACCATTACTCTTTAATTGTCTACATTGTATTAATGGATCACAAGGATACTTTTGTTACATCACACATACAAGCATACTTATACTACTTTACTTCTACTTCTACTTACTACATACACATACACACACTTGCACTTGGACCTTACTCCTAGTTCTAGACTCTCTTACACAAGCAAGGTTAAACTACTAAACCTTACACAATAACAACTCTGAACCACTACACTTGACAACTCTACTAAGCTAGTCTTTGACTAACACAACACACTTACTCATTTGGGCCTAACAAAACATTTAGCCCAATCACTTATTCTTACAAAACAACACAAGCCCAACTTGTCTCTTCTTGTGTTGACTTTCCTCTTTGTCGTTGACATCTTCTTTCACGACAACATCGTCTTCTTCTTCCGATGCTTCTTCCTCTGTTCTTCATCTTCTTCTCATGGATTCTTCTTTTCTCTTTTGCAGGTTCAATCAAGGATACAATTCCAACAACATATTATAATTTTGTTTGTAGTTTTATCCACTTTTTAAATTTATTTAGTTTGGAAGTATATCCGTTTTTTCTTTTGTTAATAAGGTAGGTTTCTATTGTTATTCCAAACAATGTATCGTTCCAAATTAGTATAATAATATATACACAAATGAGTAAATTAAACTTGATTATTTACCAAACTATATATAAGTAATTAACTAGTTACATATTAGCATAAAAGCATCGAACTTTTTGCGGCCGAAAGCTGTGGCCTATTAGTGAGCTGAACCGTAGTCAAAACATGTCTAGGGGAGATAATACCACGTATGATTGCATCTATACTAAAATGATAATCAATTTTAATTAGTAGGAGTTTTGACTTCTCACGAAACACCCGGATTTGCGCTGAGATGGATAACTTATTTAGTTGTCACAGAAATAACGAACTTGACGTCGGACAAAGATGGGCCAATTGACCGAAAGAAAACATGTAATGACAGTCGGAACATTACAAATTTATGGACATGTAATATAGCAATGTTTGTCTCACACGTATGTCAAAATTCTAAAGTTTTTTGTGAATAAATCGTGAAGTGATCATCACCATAGAATTTAATGGCTTTTGACAATTTCAAACTCAAATAATCAAATTTTGTTTGTAAGATCGAAACCGACACAAAATAAATTATTAGAAATAAATTAGATGCTTACATAATATATTAATTAATTTAAAGATAGGAAACCACACACATAAAGTATTTTACGGATTTCTTAAGTTTCAGTTATTACATAGTAACCCAAAAAATCCCTCGCATAAGTCTCCAGGAGGCATGGTGTAGTATTTCTCATCAGAAAATTTGTTTTGGTTGCAGAGCTTTTTGCAAGCATTCTCACATAAAGGAATAGTTACCTTTTTAGAAATTTTCATGCACTGATTCGGGACACAATGCTTAACACACACTTCCACCGTACTCGCGTATGTTGAAACCATCATTGTAAATAAAAGTACGATCATCAAAACACTGTATATATTTTTCATTGTTTGAGTCGCCATTATTTGAAGAGACGATTTTGTGAGTGTTCAAGCCTATTAGAATTTTGTTTATGTTATATAGCAAAAAGAAATTTAACCGGATGATTACTGTTGAGTTGGCTTTTTGGATTTTTACTTTTTGTGGTTTTTTTGGTTATAACCAAACCGTTATTATTTGGTGCATTTTTCTTATTAATTAATAAGTTAGTTTTTTTTTGTTTATGTTATTGGTTGTCCAAACAATCCATCATTCCTAATTCTTGTTGTCAAGAAACCTACCCAATTTGGTGTAAAAGTTTAAGATTATACTTTCTTTACTATAAATACATGTTGTTGGAAGAAAATCTGAGTACCCAAAATGAACAAATTACTTTAAGCATTATGTGAATTAGTAATTCTAGTACTATTCAAAATGATGCGTAAAAATGATGAGATATTATAAGCACGTGACTAATAAAATTTTCGTAAATTCGATATTGTCCTCATTATCTCTTCCACATCACTAAGAGAATTTTCTTTTTAATTTTTTTCTTCTTCAATCATTTGTTAAAACTAATCCAATCGGTTTTCTTGCTGACCATTAATTTATGGGCTAGCGGTTTTCCAGCATGTATTATTAGCGGTTTAAGAATGTTTATTAAAGAGGAGGGCAATATCGAGATATCTAAAATTTATTTTTTGTCACTTTGTTCATAACAATAATATTTTTGCGCTCTAATTTATCGAATCAACGCTCTTTAAAATACGAATTTCAAATTTTGAATATTTTTTAGTTTGAGTACTATTAGAGAGGAAAAATTTAATAGTTCATGTATTGTTTAGTACAGAGCAAAAAAAGTGTGTATATCTCTAAGAATGTTATTTAGTTGCAAAATAATTTTAAGAATGTTATTTCTTTAACATAAATACATGTTGGAAGGATGCCAACATTCTTCATTTGAAAACACCAACTTAAGAAGAAAATGAATTTTTAACATTTATTTTTGTTATTAGGTTAGGTTTCTATTGTTATTCCGAACAATGTATCGTTCCAAATTCTTGTTGTTCAGAATTCCGTATACAAGTTTTCTTATTGATCAAGATCTTAAGCCTTTTCCTTATATAGACAAATGAGTAAACTTGATTACAAAAGTATAAATTACCAACCAAATGACGATAATAAGAACGGTCGGAAAGACACTCGCAAAGCAATGATAGATAACTTAAGATTTTGTTCGATCGGTTTAGCACCAAGTAACCCGGTTTCATAGATATTTTTTAGATTTTACTTTCTTTACCATAAACACATGTTATTGGAAGGACATCGAGTACCCTAAATGGCCAAAATTTACTTCAAGCATCCTTCATATGAAAACACGAACTTAACTAATGTTTGAATTTTTGAATGATGGTTGGAGAACTGCGAGAGACAATAAGATCATCAATATATACAAGAACATGGTGTCAGAGATCACCATCAGCATCATCAGCACATATAAAGAAGTATATAAATAGAGCTTGTGTAAAATTTTATTCCTTAAGTACAGTAGCAACTAGCAAGCTTCACATACCTTGATTTATGTAGAAGATAAATTAGAGACTTCTCATCAGTACGAAAACATGAGGTAATAGATAGCTTTTAACTTCTCGAACAATACATAAATATTTGACTATTTTTATTTAATAATTAGACTATCAAATTTGAAAGTAAAAACCTAGGGAGAAAGGAGAAAATTTGAGAAGAGCGGCATGTTTCAACCTACGGTTGGAGGCTTCCACAGCTCCGCCGTCAGTTGGATTTAAGGTTTTATATGTTTCGCTTTAAGGTTTTAGTGGTCATGAGATCCTTTCATAGCCATCTTTTGATTTCAGAAATCGGTAAAGAGGAGAATCAGTGATGTGTTCGATAAATCCAAAAGCAAAGGCTCTTGGCAACAGCCCTCCGGCTAATCTTTCATCTTTGGTGATGAGTTCAAAGACCATGAATACCTCAACATATGTCCTTTATAATTGGGCTATATTAATATCTATGTCCAGGGGATGAGAATATTAAGTTTCTATGCATGAAGATTAGGTAATTAAACCTCTCTCTTCCCGACATAAATTGTGACGAAAAAGCCCTTACAAAACCAAAAAAACGAAAACAGTTATAGCTTAGGTGCGGCAGCATTAAATGCTGAGGATATCTTGGAAGATATCGTCCGCCGGCATTGGAAACATAGAGATACGGTAAATCATTGCAGCTGATAAATGTTGGGTTGCGGGTATATCGAATATAGACGTTTGTCTATTTATTAGCACTATATCCTCTTTGCTGCAACAACCCAGTTCTATCACTCTAAATAGCTTAGCTTCCGACATCTTTAATGCAAGAGAAAGATAAACACACAGAGACATCAAAGCTTAAAGGTAAAAGTAAAAGATCTGGGTATAACGTACTTTATTATTGATGTTCAGAAGAGTGAATTTTTTAAAATTTAGGGTTTCATAGTTAAGAATAACAAGAACGCTAACAACTTTTTTATTGCTGAAAACACTAGCAGGTAAAAATGGCGTTCGTGGTGAGATTGGTCCCTGGGAATGGAAAAAAGATGAAAACGGCTTTTTCGAACACGTCTCACATATGGATGGGTTTGCACTAGGAGTACGCCTGCGAGAGCAAGATGGGTTTGCGAAAGTGGTTATGGCGGTAAAAGAAAAGTTAGCACTGCGTCCTGAAGACGATATCGAGTTAACGTACCAGTGGCCACAGTGGATGATGGGCCCTGATTGGAAACGTGCAAACCCGATCGACATATTAGACGATGAGGACATGACTCTGTTCATGGCGATAAGGGCCGATCTAGATGAAGTCCATCTGCGGGTCAGGATTATACGAGGTGGGACTGAGCGAAACGTTAATAGTTATCGGAGTAACATGGATCTAAGCGGCCTAAGTTCAAAAGAAATATCCGATAAATACTGGAATAGCGCAGAAACGAGGGCTGTCTGGGGAACCGCGCTAACACGAATGTTACTGCGTAACATTTCAGGTGAACAACTTATAACTAAATTCCTAAATATATTGCAGTAAGAATTAGAAGCTAATGATATTAACAGGTTTTATTACAATGTAATCAAGAATATATTTTCAGCTCTAAATCAACAATATTGGCGGATAATAAAATTAGTAGATAAATTGGTTATCTACTAATAGTAAACCTGTTACAGGTAACGCAGACAGTATGACAACAATGGGGAAGGAGAACGAGGTGAACATAAGTAAAGGCGGTGAGCAGCGCAACACGTATGAAGGGGTAACCATAAGAGACAACATGGAAATTACAGGCGGGACTAGCGGGATGCCAAAAAAAGTAACACACCCAGGAGCATTTACAAGCTTAAAGGGAAAAGAGAAAGTTGTTGAAGACGAGGAGAGGGAGAAGGATCGGTTATTTGAAATGTGGCGAAAAAACCAACAAGAAGAAATGTGGCGAGAGATGTGTGCAACCCAAATGACCCTAGGTGGAACTCAAACAAATGCAACAAAAGTGGGCGACAAAGAGAAAACAGCGAGGGTCCTAGATTTTGGAAGTAGCGACCAGTCAAAGAGAGATCCAAATGCTGATTTGCGTCTAACTCTAGCGAGTTCAGAAGCACTAGCTGTTGGGCCGCCGGTGGTCGCTTTATCGTCAAGCGATTCAACCTTCAGAACGCCAACCTCGCTTTCGAGAAGCATTTCTTTCAGTACCGAAGACCTAATGGAGGATAGTGACTCGTCGAACAACAACAGCTTATCGCAATTAGGTATATTAATGAATAATCAATATATTATCCGCTATTTTGTTTATGCACAATCAAACAACCATAAAATGCTTTAAACTGTAGGTGACGAAACACTGGCACACTTTTACTCTGATCCTGATGGCCCTGTGATTATGGATCCTCAACCTATCACAATGATAGATAAAGGCAAAAGTATCATGATAGAGGACGGGTTATCAACTAAAGAAATAGGGATGCCATCAACTAACACAAGAGTATCCGAGGTACAGAGGAATGAGATGATCGTGAAGGATACACCCGTTTGAACGGTATTCTATGACAGAGATGCACCCCCATATTTCGACGATCCAGGGGAGGAAGGTAACAACACCGCCTGCAACCATGTCAGCACCCTGCAAAACAAAATAACCACAGTAATTGTTATCCAACGAAAGAAAAAGAAACAAAAACACATTATATGTTTTGATGCTAAGATAACTATTACCAAACTAATGACATAACAACTAATCTCTTAGTTAACAATCGTTGCCTACAAACTTACCTGCGGATGAGCAATCAGACCTGGGGAGGGGAGATCTTCATCCATTGGGACATTGTTCTCCGGCTAGAACCAAAAAAAAAAAATAATAATAATTAAACAGTGAGGGGGGGAATGCAAACCTGGTTAACAAAACTCCATTAATAACAACTGTATAGATTAAACATTTTACTAACAGTTACACCACTATAACATAGCAACTAACCTCTGCGTTATCTTCAACAACAGACTCTGTGGGTGGGACAACATGACCTGTAACATTGTTACCGCCCTAAAATTTTTTTAAAAAAATTAGTTAAACAACAATAAAACACCGTCACAGCGTCATTGTATGTTTGAAGGTAAAAGTAAGTGTTAGCATCTACCTATGATAACACCAAATATCTGAAATAACTTAGCCAAATACCACCATAGACAACTCGCCCACATTTTACTAATAGTTACCCCAGAAAAACCAAAACAACTAACCTCGGGGTTATCTTCATCAACACATTCTGTGGGGGGGACAACATCAGCTGTAACGTTGTTAACGCCCTAAAAAAAATTTAACAAACAATGTTATAAAACAATAAACACACAAAAAAGCCTCAAGGTATATTTGATGATAAAATAACAGTTAGCATCTAACTAAAAATAACACCTAAACTATGAAATAACTTAGCCAAAAAACTCCATTGAATACTCGCCCACCTGAGAATTTTGGACCACATCGCCAGCATGGAGAATATCTTCACCCATTGGAACAGCATTCTCCCACTAAAAACAAAAAAGAAAGCCATAATCAGGAAATTAGCCACCAACCCACAAAAACAGAAATTAATAAGAAAAAAAAAAATTACCCCCGCCTCCTTGCAACCAACACAAGTTGGAACCTTCTCAGAGTAGAAAGATAAAATTTCATCCACAGAGGCCTCGACATTAGAAGTTCCTTCGCGGCTATGAGACCGAGCATGGCCACGGGAGGGGCGGAGAGGATCAAATCCAAAATCATCATTACCACCATTGGAACCCAGACCATCAGAATTAGAAACACCATCGTTACCATTGTTGGCAGCCTTCTTAGGACGAGTAGACCCACTGACATGCTCTTTCGAGGTTTCGCCTTCAATAACAGTGTTTTTAGTGAACCAATCAGTCACCGCGGCAATGATTTTTTTCGCCTGACCTTCAAGTTTGGCATCCAACAAAAGGGAAATAGACTCCAACGAAAGAACCCCTGAATTCCCGCCTTCCTCAGGGATAGGTCTTTCTTGTCTGCTCCTAACACCACCGTTCTTAGTTAGTTTGGCAGCTTTCCTAGTGCGACTACCATTGGATTTACCACCACGCTTTTGTTTTTTTGGAGCCAATTTCAACTGGGATGGGATAACTCCACCATCAAACATGTCATTCTTGAAAATCAGACCCTCACCTAAAAACATCAGAATATTATCGACCTTCTCATCTTCCTCATCATCAGACCAAGACAAATCTTCCTCCGGATCCAACACAAAATCAGGACAAATAATGGAATCAACAAAAATCTGCAAACCAACCAAGATAATAATACCAGATGGCGTTAATTTGTTTAAGTGAAAAAGGCGTTAGTGATTAACAACATAATTATCGGAAACTTGTACAAAATATACTGATAACAATCTCGATAAATGTTAACAAAGTTAAAGAGATAAGTACATTACTGAGCATTTCTTATCCAACACTTTAGCATTCCCTAGCTTGAAAGGGACAGACTCTCGAGGGGCATCTTCAACATCGACATCGCCGGCTTCAGTTTCAGACTCAATGATCTCATCAATTACAGGTCCATCTTGAATAGATGGAGCTGCCTGTAAGACAACCAATTGCAGAGCGTATAACAACCCCTGAACGCTAAAACAAGTAATTGCTAATTGTTCAATTTCCCTCTCTTTTATCGACTTAATCATCATCTCGAAAGAGAGACGGCCCCAAGGGTAAGCAAGAAATGCATTCACGTCCTCAACCATTTCGGCGTGAGCTTTAACAATCTTAGGATAATGAAAGGTAGGGACAAGGAAACCATCGACAATCGCTAAGCAAGCACATCGGATCCTCATATCGGCATCGGAGATAATCCTTTTCTTCAACATCGTAATAGCCTGGTCTACAGTTACATCTTCTTCAAGGCCAAACAACTTACTGTAAAATGGAATCGTCATCCCCGCAGTGCCTTTCTTCTTTTTCTTCTTCAAAGCCGGATACTTCCCACAAGGTAAACCCGTAACAATCTTGAACTCTCTCAAAGAAAAACGAATAGGAATTCCGGCAAAGAGCACCCAAATCTCGTTCGGCTTCGCCACCTCCAACTGTCTACCCAATATAAAAATCCCAAAGCTCGCAGACCAGGCGGGTTTGTTAGGAAACTCCAATAATTGACCGAATGTGGATCGAGAAAGGAACTGCCGTTCACCATCGTCGAGAGCGTTGAAGATAGAGCAAAGGGTTTTCATCTTATGATACACATTAACCCTCTCGCCGCGAGGCTCGTGACCAAACGCAATCAACCGGGGAGGAAGCAGAATCGGAGGCATCGGTTCTGAGAAAAAAAAAAAACTAGTTACACAACAATAAACACGGCGTTCAAAGCTTAATCAAACAGAAAAAAAAACGATTTTAATTACAAGAAAAGAGGAGAAGAACAAAACCCAGATCTGAGAGATAACCCTTTGCTAGAAAAACAGAACCAGAGAAAAAGAAGACGAGAGAACAGTTTTGGGGAGTTGTTTCCTTTTTCTCTCTGACTGAAAACACCGTTTCTCCTCCTCATATATGATGAGAACAAACACGACGGTTCGGAAACTGGAGAAGAAAAAAAAAAAAAAATTAAATCGCACATCTCCCCAAAACAATATCTCGCAAAATCTTCTCCTACCTTTTGCAATGATACAACCCTATAATCTAAATACAATTCCTTTGATGCTATAGGGGTACATGCGTCAAAAAAAATTGAACAGAAACGATGGAACAGTGTAAAAAGGATGGATTTAATTATCGGTTCCTCTATGCATATCCCCTGATATTTCCCTTTATAATTTAGTTGAGTTATGGGCTAAATTGTGGGTGAGTGTTTCCTATTATTTAGGTGTCAGTTATTGTTTGTTTACGTTTATTTAAGTTGTTTAGTGTTTACGTCTGTGAAACTTGATATGAAGAGAAATTTGTGTTTAGAAAATAGTTTTAGTGTTCTTGTAACACAACTATTTGGCTTTGAAGAGGGACCACCTATCATTTGGCCTTGTCAAACATTATGGAAAAGACATTTTTCTGTTATATTTGGTGGTCCACTGTTTGGGCTGAGTCTTTGTCATAATTTCTTATGAACTGATTGGATTACGATTAGTTGTAGGTTTTTAGCAAAATATTAAGAAAAAAACACAGTTCAACAGAAAATTCTCTTAACTGTTGGAGAGATGACGAGGACAACAGCGAATATAATATTTTATTAGTCACGTGATTAACACTTCTCACCATTTAAGCGTCAAGTTGAGCAAATGGTAAAAGATAAGAAACACAGACACATAAATATTTATTATTTTGCAAATTTCTTAAGTTTGCTTCATACATAGAAACCAGAAAAATCCATCGCAGTAACTTCGAGGCGCGATGTATTTCTCATGAGAATGGTTGTCTTCATTGCAGAGTTTTCTGCAAGCAGTCTCACATAAAGGAAGAGTTGCATTGTTAGAAACTTTCATGCATTGATTCGGAACACAATGTTTAACACACACTTCCACCAAATTCGCGTATGTTGAAACCATCATCGTAAATAAAACTACAATCATCAATACACTGCATATCTTTTTCATTGTTTGAGCTGCCATTGCTTGAAAGTCGAGATGAGTTTATGAGTGTTCAAGCCTATTAGAATTTTGGTTGTGTTATATAGCAAACAAATTTATAACAAGATGACTACGTTTAGTTAGCTTTATGTAGATTATATACTTTATATAGCAGAAGTTGTTTTATCCAATCTAAAATTATTTATTTTGGAAGTCTATCCGTTTTTTTTGTTTCGATTGCTGTTGGCGTCCAAACAATATATAAATCATCTTTGATTTCTTGTTATAACTTAGTTTTTCTGTTGTTTTGGCCATTCTACAATAACTAATTTTTATCATAACATATCTAAATGTCATTTTGCTATCTTTTTTTCGTAACTAGATGATTGATGTTACTATTTTAATAATGTGGAATACATAAGGTAGTAAGCAGTTTTATTACTGGAACTGATAATTATGGGTTTATTTTACTTTTGTCGGTATGAAGTCCGATAGAGTTCTGAATAAAAAGTCGAAACACTGCTGGAATCGACCCACATTTCACAGATCTTTTAAGGAATTAAGAATACATGAAGTCGGAAGCGCTAATGTGATTATAATCGGAGGGTTAAAAATGTGATTTTCTCTTTCCAAATCTACTAATAATCGGACTCACTTGAACCGAAGTTTTTCCAATAGAGACGTTGATTCTTTTTTGCCCAAATCGAATAGACTATGGATTGCCATGCGATTTTGCCGACAAGGCACACTCTCCTAAGCTTTGTGAACTCGAACGAAATGGAATGACTGAACAAGTGAACTGTGGTTTTAATTTATACTCCAATATACCAACGTCTGTACAATACTGTTGATCTATTTCTCTCTCTCTCCTAATATACTTTTTTTTTTCTCCTATTTCACCGGTGGTAACAAAATTTGGTCAGAATGAGTTTTTATTCGCGAAAATCTTCGTATGGTGAAGATCCACTTGAATAACCACTTTCAAATGCAGTCGTCTCTCTTGGAGATGATGGAAGTGATTCTCTTTGCTGAGATGTTGAGCCTAAGGGAAAAAAAAAACATACAGAAAAGCCAAGTTAATGAACAGTTCTTATTTGGGAACAGCTAAATGGCTGGGATCTTTTTAGAAGTATTTCAAGATATACGGTCAGAGTTGAGGGTTGTTTTCTAGTCACCTCTTTGAGATCTTGGACGGAATTTTTTAGTGTGCCGTCTGATGAGTCTCTTAGCTTTTGTTATAGTTAATTGCCGAGCAAAAGGAGAGAATTCTACATCACTGTCACTCCAATCCCCGTGGAAGTCATTCTCCGCTTCACCTCTCATAGTTCTCAAGACAAATGCTTTGGCCTTGCGTCTTTGGGTGTTGAAGAGTCCTCGAATAGAAGTAACAAATCCATCACCTGCTCCATCACTTTGACGCTTAAACCATGTGACTTGTTGATCAGGTTTACCTGTTTGATCATTATCACTTAGATTCAGGTCATTGTCAGTAGACTCGCGATTGTTATTTGACTTATCTTTGAATTTCTTCCCCTGAAAATTTGAATGGAAAGAGACTATATTAGCTTGCTTATCTTGTCCACATAACCTAAACATCATCTCCAAGAGAGACGACTATTCAAGCATGATATTTTCTGACCTGCATTCCAGTAACTGACTTCAATACTCCCCAAATTATGTGCTTCTTAACACGGGAAAAAAGCCTTCTCCAAGTCCCGGTAAACTCAACACGATGAAATGTATCCATCAACAATTTGAGGTCGTTTACAACAAATCTTGAGCCCTCATAAGTAACTAGAAGCTCCACCTGAAATGAAATGATGTAAACCGATTTAAGCAAATCAATTTCTGAGATTCAATTTAAAGTAGTTGTAGAAACTAGCTTACTTACCTGACTAATTTTAATGTTGTGAAACTCCATCATCTTTCTAGGCCTAGACTTCTTCTCCTCGTGTGATTTTCCAGCCTTCTTTTCTTCATGAGAAGAGCGGCCAGACTTGACAGGTTTTATCTCTTTGACCTTCTGTTTAGAGGAATCCTCCTGTTGTTCAACAGAAGATGACACGGTGCAAGAGTGAGCTTGTAGAACGAGTTCATTAGCTACGGGTTCTGCCACATTTTCTTCCCTATCGAAAGAAGATGTTCTTCTCAACTCCGGAGCTGACCCACCAGTGCTAGTCCTGAGGCATAGAATATTTGATTTCTGCAAAGAGAATGCAAGTAAAATCAGAAAAAGAATAACAGAAAATTCGTCTAAAACTTTGAAGTGCAGATAAAGGTGAAAGCCTACTTGAACAGAGTCAGCATTGCTTTGTGACTGCACTGCGGCAGAAGCAGAGAGAGCTGAAGAACTCATCCGAGCTGCTTCAACATCTTTAATGGCGTGTCCAGAAGATTCATGACCTACTAACCCTTTCTTTACACGTTTTGAACCGGCTGTTGTCGAAATTTTCCAAACTTCCTGCAGGAGACAAGGAACCAATATAAACTTAATTTAATCAGATTTTCATCTAAATGCTAAATTGTGATGTGATTTGTGACCTGTCGACTTTGTGAATCCTGCTCTTCTTCTGGGAAGAAATACTCCCACATCATTCTGTACATTGTCTCTGTTAAATGAATTCTTAGTGGATAAATCTCTACCTACAAGATTTGCAGTAATTATCAGACAAATTTAACACTCACACAGAAAGCAACGAGAGTTCAGTTAAAAGATGTTGTAACACAGCCGGTTCAGTAACATAAAATCCACTAATACTTGAATCATATATTAATTATAACGGTTATGTTTACAAAATTCAGTAACGAACAAATGAAGAGAAAAAGAAAGAAGAAAAGATACTTACATGAAAAAGCTCAAGGGGATAATGTCCATCTTTTGGTGCTCCTTGCTTTGCATCCACACGTAGCATGACTTTCCTGTAAATAAAGTTATAGATCACTTTTAATGAAACTGAATTAATCGGAACTGATACAAAGTTTAAGTGCATCAAGTAGAGAGAGGAAGTACACTCCCAAAGTCAGAACCAGTATCAACGATGATTTACATCGCACATTCACACTAAATAGGATCCTTTATATTAACTATTTAGGATGAAAATACAAAACAATGTGCATTTTGCCAGAAGAATTCTTGGAAAAGATGACGCTTCAACAGGTAATATGTCACTTTTCAACGTGACATAAGGACCAATCAATATCATAGAAAGGATGTCTCTTAACACAATGTGAAAAGATAGTTTTTGTGACGACTTAAAGAAAGCACAAGACCAGATCATGATATCAAGTATGTAATATGGGAAATATACAAGTACTGTAAATAAGCATGTAAGGAAAACGTACTTTCCCCATTCAGGTGGAGGATTCCATGCTGATAAAAGCATATCTGACTTTGCATTTTGCAGACAGTTCCTAACAACAAAGTACTTGGTGGTGAATCGAGCAACACCAATGTCTTTGTAGTCCCGATCAAAGTCATAAATCTGCATGTATAAATCCAATTAAATATGTACTGTCTTTTAATTTAAACAGACTGCATACATGCAATAGACCAAGTCAGTAATTAATTAAGTAGACTATGAAAATTTGTAAGCAAATTGCTCCGCAAGTTACTCTCGGCATTCCATACTCTAAAGACTAATTAGTATGTGAATAAGAAAATGTGATTATTTGATGCTACCACTCTAAAGGCACTGAACTAAGAATAGACAGAATGCGTATACTTACCATGTCATTTATCTCTGCCTCAGCAAAGGATTTACCATCTACAAGCATGCTCCAAACAACCTTATTAATTTGTAACGAAATACACATAGCATATGATGGGCTTTTGTTCTTCTCCTTCTCCATTATTCGCAGCTGTGCAGCCTTCTGCAACGCCATTCTTAAAGATGCAGAAGCCGCCTTTCTAGACTTTTGTGCATATGTGAGCTCTTTCTTTAATCCTTGTACCTAAAACAGACCAGCAAAATTGCAACATAAACTTATATATTGTCACCACGAAATAAATTCACAGAACCACTTTCAAGAATAGAACAGAAGCCAAACAGAAAGCTGATGCTTAGGAAGAACAGAAATCTCTAACACAATAGTTGCATGCCCAGCACCCATTAGTTAATGAAACAAGTTGAAGCAACAACCAAAGAGTCATGAAGTAACGTTTATGCCATCAAAGAACTAAAGTTTGAATGTCGTCTCTTCCTTTTGATTCATTGGGTTGTGAGTGGGTGGCGATGTGAAAGATTAATGACTAATTTCGAGGTTAGCTAATTATACTTCACACTATCATCATAATTTAGCATCTAAACATACTTCTTTCTGTAGAGTCTTACCAGTATGGATCTTCTGGTACTAATCATCCACAATTCACCTTCCCTTTCGATATGTGTGTCGTCCATATTGTCGGAACAAGGAGACAATTTCCTAATATCATCAAGAAGCAACTTTCGCCCCCGCTCTTTCTCTTCAAGGTTGATTTTTGCAAGTTCCACTTCTTCAACACCATACGGAACTACCTCATCAGCCTCCTCTTCCACATCTTCATCTTCCGTGGGACATTGGAGACTACTTTTCCGAGGCCTGGATCATAAAAGGATCTCCTCAATGCTATAAAATGCTCAAAAATAAACAGAGAACAAAATGTATTTGAAGTTTAACCCTAATCATCAGCGAATTGCAGTGACATGGATTCTAAAAATCACTTATGTTTATTTCAAGCTGGTTACAGCAAGAAGCAAAAGAAAATGAACAAAATTGGCATGAAAAGTGTGGGTTACCCCTTTCACTTTATTCAGGTTTTAATACTCACTTTGGAAGCCTTGCAAAGAGAAGGTTGGTCAACACATCCAGCATAACTTGGAATTGCCGAGATGTCATTGTAGCTATTATATTGTGCGAATTGAAAGTAAGCTCTTTTAGTGGTTTCACCTACAAATGCATAATTTAGAATTCAGTTAGTTAGAAGAAAATAAGAATTAGGTTATTTCTCTGGAAAGACCCTGAAACGAAAGAAACTTATTATGTTAGTTACATAAAGGTATCAATTACATGTGTACATCAACTGATTTACTCCTAACAGGCGAAATTTAGTGGTTCATAGAGTCCTTCTAGTTTATACAGAGAATATTTTCTATCAA